CACCGGGGAGCGGCAAGCGGGCACCCGGACCCCCAGGAGGGCTGCCCAATCTCCACGTCCCCCAACTGGGCACTGGGACCCCCCAGCGCAGCGGCTGGCCCCCATATTCCYAACGTGGCACCGGGACTCTCTGGGGGGGGTCATCCCTGTCCCCTGCCCCCCAGGCAGGTACCGGGATGCCGGGAGGGGACAGCCCTGTCCCCCGCCCCCCGGGCAGGCACCAGCGCTGCGATGCCCCCGGCATCCCGGGATCTGGGGCAATTTGGAGGACACGGAGCCCCCGGCAGCAGATCACAGCGCCCCCCATCCCTGGAGTCCCGGGGCGCATGTGGGGGGTCCTGCACCCATTTCCCAAGCGGGGGGTGCATCTGTGGCGCCCGGGCACTGCAGCCCCTCCAGCACCATCAGTTCACTTTACAGATGTGCCGGCACGGACATAAATAACTAACGAGATCCTGCCCAGAGCTCGTGCCATGAAATATTCATCCCGCCTGTAACTGAGCGGGTGAAGCAGAGTTCAGCGCCGGGCCTGGCCSGGGGCGCAGGGCGCGGGGGCTGCAGCATCCCCAGGGACCCCCCGCGCGTTTCCCCCCTCCAAGGGCTGTTAACCCCAGAAGTGCCGCCCAGCTGGGCTGGAACCAGCAGATTGCATCGGTTCTCTGGGCCTCCTTTGCTCCAAAATGGGGAATGAATGGGATGCGGTGCTGAGCAGGCTGTGTCCCCTGCCCTCCGGCCACGCGGCCCCCAAGGYGGGTGGCCGGGCAGGGACGCGGCCTCAAGCCCTCCGCTCCGGCTCAGCCTCTGCTTCTCTGCTCCAGATGCGCCGCGGGGGCCCGTGGGCCGGCGGCCCCGCCGCCCTGCTCGTCCTCAGCGGGCTCCTCTGCGTCACCGCGCTGCCCAGCGCCCGCAAGAAGGTGGTGCACGTGCTGGGTGAGTGGGGACCCTGCGTGGGGACAGCGCACGGCCAAGGGGGGATGGCAGGGCCGCTGTGTCCCACGTGGCCCGAGCTGCATTTTGCAATGCTGGAGGGATGGAGAGGGGGACCCTGAGCRTGATGTCCCGTGCAGAGGACGACAGCGGCGCCGTGGTGGTGCAGACGGCGCCGGGCAAGGTGGTGACGCACCGCGGCGGCACCATCATCCTGCCCTGCCGCTACCACTAYGACGTGTCGGCCCACGCCGCCGACGAGATCCGCCTCAAGTGGACCAAGGTGACGGAGCCCATGGCCTTCGAGGACGTGTTCGTGGCGCTGGGCAAGGCGCGCCGCGCGTTCGGCAGCTACCGCGGGCGCACGGCGCTGCAGGAGGACGGCTTCGGCGACGCCTCGCTCATCATCCGCAACGTCACCCTGCAAGACTACGGCCGCTACGAGTGCGAGGTCACCGACGAGCTCGAGGACGACACCGGCATGGTCAAGCTGGACCTCGAAGGTAGAGCCTGGCAGGGTTACGGGGTCCCCGCGTGCCGAGCCAGCCTCGGTCCCRCTTTGCTTTTTCTGCGGCTTTTGCTGGCTGTTTTTGCGGCCACGCGCCAGGTTTTATCGCCTCCGTGATTGGCTTTTATTGCTGCTCYGGGCTTTTGTGCCAGCAGTTAATAAATGCCCGGGATAGGTAGCGGTGAGGACTCGGGAAGCACTGGGAACAGGACACATGTGGTGGCCATGCCGCTCCAAGCTGCATCCAGGCTTTCCCAGCCCCAGGAAGCAAACCCCCCTCCTCCATGAACCTGGGGCCCCTGGGCTCAGTTACCAGCCCCACACTGGGTGCAGCCAGTGCAGCCCTTTGCAGGGGGGTCCCACCGCCCTTCTGGGGTGGGGGTCTGCAAAGCACCATCCCCTGCATCCAGAAGCGACAGGGGAGCCGGGCAGAGCCACAGCCTCCCCAGTGCGGAGCAGCATCAGACCCGGGGGCTTTGCAGCCAGGGGGGACCCTCGCAGACCCCCCTGTGTCACTGCCGCCCCTCGCAGGCGTCATCTTCCCCTACCACCCGCGCCTGGGCCGCTACACGCTCAACTTCCACGAGGCGCAGCGCGCGTGCCGCGAGCAGGACGGCATCCTGGCCTCGCACGACCAGCTGCACCAGGCCTGGCTCGAGGGCCTCGACTGGTGCAACGCGGGCTGGCTGCAGGACGGCTCCGTGCAGTACCCCATCGCGCGCCCGCGCGAGCACTGCGGCCGCAAGGACACCCCCGTGGGCGTGCGCAGCTACGGCTACCGGCACAAGGACAGCGAGCACTACGACGCCTTCTGCTTCACCTCCAACCTCGACGGTAACGGGCCAGGACGCAGGGGTGGCTCCGGGGGGGTCCCTTTTGAAGGGGAAACTGAGGCATGGCAGCCGGACGGAGCCGTCACGTCCCCCTTGCAGCCTGGCTCCCAGTCAGGGTTATTGCAGCAGTAAAAGGAGGGGTGATGGATGAGGCCAGGGCTGGGAATGCCAGCTTCTCCTGCCGGGTGAATTCCCGGTGGCTGCCAGGGCGGCACGGGGGTCTCCGCACGTGTTTGTTTAATGGTGGCAGGCAGGACAAAGAGCGGGGGTCACCGGCACCGGAGGCCAGCGCCAATCCCAGCCCCGGTAAATCTGCCTGCCGAGGCTTCCCGGGAGCCCCGGGGCTCCCGGCTCCAGCCCCTTTGCCCCGTGACGGGTCCCCGTGGATTCCTGTCCCCTGGGGCCAGGTGGACGGTGCTGCGGGAGCGGGGCCATGTGGGGCTTGTGGCTCCGTGGGAGGCGGGTGACACCAGGGACCAGGGTGGCTCCGCGGGAGCGGGATGATACTGGGGGTGTTGGCAGCTCCGTGGAGCTGGGCAATGCCAGGGATCCCCATGGGAGTCGCGTGGTCTCGGTGGCTCCATGGGATCTGGGTGATGCTGGGGAAGCCTAAAGGAGCTGCATGATGCCGAGGATCCCTGTGGGAGCTGGGTGATGCTGGGGATCCTGGCAGGAGTTGGTTGATGCTGGGGAGCTGGGTTTCTCCATGGAAAAGGGATGATGCTGGACATCACGGGAAGCAGGTGATGACGGTCATCCCATCAGGAGTGGGTCAATGCCAGGAATCCCATCAGGAGCGGGACGAAGCTGGGGTAGCCATCAGGAGTGGAATGAGGTCAGGGATCCTGTCAGGAGTGGGACGATGCTGGGGATCCCGTCAAGAGCAGGACAAGACTGGGGATCCCATAAGGAACAGGATGATGCTGGGGATCCCGTCAGGATCGGGACAATGCTGGGGGTCCCATCAAGAATGGGATGATGCTGGGGATCCCATCAGGAGTGGGATGATGCTGGGGATCCCATGAGGAGCAGGACAGGGCTGGGGATCCTGTCAGGAGCAGGACAGGGCTGGGGATCCCATGAGGAGCAGGATGATGCTGGGGATCCCATCAAGAATGGGATGATGCTGGGGATCCCGTCAGGAACAGGACAGGGCTGGGGATCCCRTGAGGAGCAGGACAGGGCTGGGGATCCCGTCAGGAGCGGGATGATGCTGGGGATCCCACGAGGAGCAGGCCGAGGCCGGGCGCCCCGCCAGCAGCCTGATGCGCCGCGTGCCGCAGGCAAGGTGTTCTTCCTGAAGACGTTCCGCAAGCTGAGCTTCGCCGAGGCGGCGCAGGCGTGCAAGGAGAGCGGCGCCGCCGTGGCCAAGGTGGGCCAGCTCTACGCCGCCTGGAAGCTGCAGCTGCTCGACCGCTGCGAGGCCGGCTGGCTGGAGGACGGCAGCATCCGCTACCCCATCGTGAACCCGCGCGCGCGCTGCGGCGGCCGCGAGCCCGGCGTGCGCAACCTCGGCTTCCCCGACAAGAAGTACAAGCTCTTCGGCGTCTACTGCTTCAAGAAGGCGGCCGGGGACGGCAGCACCAAGGAGAGCGGCCAGGGACACCCCAACCGCGTGTGAGGTGGCCCCGGGACCCCCATCCCGCCTGTCCCCTCCGTGCTGCGGGAGCGGGATGGGGATGGGGGCTCCGATCGCCCCTGTGAATCCAGCTCGGAGCTGCTGCCTCTGCCCCCTCATTCCGCTGCAGACGGGACCCCCCTTTACGCTCTCATGGGGGGGGCAGTGCCCCCCCAAACTGCTGCTTGGAGCTTGCAGGTCCCGGCCGCGCTTGCGCACCCCGATGCAGCAACCCGAGGAGGAAGACGATGGATCCGGGGAGGAAGATGATGGATCGCGGGAGGAAGATGATGGATCGCAAGAGGAAGATGATGGATCRYGGGAGGAAGACGATGCTGCTCGTGSGAAGGGCAGTGCAGGGCGCTGGGAGCCCCGCGTCCCCCCGCGCTCGCCGCTCTGCAAACCAGCGCGCTGCATGTGCAAAAAGCCACGGGGGCGACGGGGGGGCCCCGCGTGCCCCCCGCGCCCGGCGCAGCCGCGGCGGCTCCGGGTGCTGCTCCGGAGGCAATAAAGCTTTGGCAGCTCCAAGGACCAGCACCTCGGGGAAAAAAAAAATAAATAAAAAGAAGAAAAAAAAGCAAAAAGCCCAGGAAAACTGTTAAAAAAATTTATTAAAATGTCCAGCAGTACAGAAAGGCAGAGTCAGAACCGGCGGGGGGACACGGTGGTCACGTCGCACACAGTGGGGAAGCGCCACTCACACACACGCCAACGCCGAGGGGCCACCGACAACCAGGGGAGGGGAAAGGAGCCCCCCCCCAGCCCCACGGCGGCTCCCGCTGCAGCCCGGCTCTGGGAAGGGCCCCGGGAAGCGCCCGGAGCGCAGGGAGGGAAGGGACTGGGTGCGAGAGGAGCCGGGACGGGCGGAAAGGGGGGGTGTTAAAAACCTGGAGCCGTCCTCGGCGGCGGCCAGTGTGGCACGGCGGGGGGGGCGGGATTGGGGAGCCGGGGGGGTCCCCGCGTCCACCCCAGCCCCACAGAGCTCCGTGGGGCGGGGGGGCCGCGCGTGGGGCATGCAGGGGGGGCCGGGGCGCAGCCGCCTCCTCCCGCTCCTATTCCCTACGGGGCCGGGCATCCTAGGAGCTAAAGCCAAGGAGGGGGCTATAAAAGAGGGCGGGGGGGCGGGCGGGGGTCCCGGGGCGGGGGGCGGTGCCCGCGGGGCCCCTTGTGCTTGGTGGCCGCTAGAAGTAGTGGCCCTCGCGCATGCCGTCGAGGCGCGGGCGCCGGCGCCGCTTCCGCCGCTCCCGGCGGGGCTGGTGCTGGTGGTGCTGGTGGTGCGGGTGGCTGTGCCGGTGGCGCCGGTGCCGCCGGGCCCGGTGGGACCGCCTGGCTAACGGAGGCAATGGAGAGGGACACACGGTGTGGCGAGGGGCCCCCGAGATGCCCATCCAGCCTATCCAGAATCCATGCATCCATGCATCCCACCCCATCCTGCCCATTCCACCCTGTTCCAACCCACCCTATCCTTCCATCTCATTCCAACACATCCCAAGTCCCCTCATTCCATTCTATCCCATCCCACCCATCCCAACCCATTCCATCCTATCAAATCCCATTTATCTCCTCCATGCCATCCCATTCCAACCTAACTCATGTCTTGCCATGCCCAACAAGCCCAGCCCTTCCTTCGATCCCAACCCATTTATGCAATTCCAACCCATCCCATCCTATCCACCCCATCCCAATCTATCCCATCTCAACCCACCCCATCTTATCCTAACCCATCCCTAGCCCTCCATTCCATTCCATCCCATCCCATCCCAACCCAACCAAACCCAACCCAACCCAACCCATCCAATCCTATCCTATCCACCCCATACCAATCTATCCCATCCCAAATCACCCCATCCTGTCTTAACCCATCCCAAGCCCTCCATTCCACCCAATCCCATCCATCCTATCCCATCCCAACCCATCCCATTCTATCCACCCCATACCAAGTTATCTCATCCCATCTATCCCACCCCAATCCAACCCATTCCATTCCATTCCATCCATCCCACCCCAATCCAACCCATCCCATCCCATCCATCCCACCCCAATCCAACCCATCCCACCCCATCCCATCCCATGGGCCCCCCGCTCACGTTTTGTGCAGAGGATTTTGGGCCGGTCCCACTTGCCGTTGCTGTGGCACTTGATGGTGGGCACGTGGCGCTGGGCGAAGCCCTCCTCGCACTGGTAGCGCACGCTCGCGTGGACGCTGTAGCTCGCCCTCCTCTTGCCCACGGGGAACGCGTGGGCCACCTCCGGCGGGGGCCCGCACAGCACTGGGGACACCGGAGCCGCTGAGCCCGGCCACGTCCCCCCGAGCTCTGGGGCCATAAATCCCACCCGTCGAGAGGCTCCTCCGACCGCCCCGTGCCAAGGTGTTCGCCCGGGATTTGCATGTGTAATTAATGGCCTTAGCAGGACAAATATATCATTACATGTGGCTGGCGGGAGGGGGAGGCGAGCTCCGCCGGCTCRGCTCGAGCAGCTGGAAGTTAATATAACTTTCAAGATAAGGAATGAGAACTTAATAGTTTTAATGGTGCCAAATTAAGCAAATTAAAATGGAGAGGGAAGAATTAAGCTGTGGGGGGAAAAAAATGGAGATGAAGGGAAGCGGTTTGAGTTTCCCTTGWCAGAGGGCTGGGAGGGCAGCAGAGGGGAGAGGTTTCCTGGGGACGAGGATGCAGCCAGGAACAACAGGGAGGGATGCCAGGATAGTGGGATGGGGAACGTACCAGGGGAAGGATGCTGGGATGGGATGGAGATGGTGCTCAGGATGMAGGGACTACGGGACAGTATCCAGGGCTGGATGCTGGAGCTGCAGGATGGCACCCAGCAGGGGATGGGGACCATGTGCAAGGAGGGTGCCAGGGCCAGGCCCGGCAGTACCTGTGCCCTTCTTGCAGATGTAGGGCAGGTTGTAGTTGCAGGGCACGTCGTTCCACTTGCCGATCTCGTGGGACACGAGCACCACGCAGTCCTCGCCGCCCGCAAAGAAGTTATCGGGCTGGTTCTCCCGCCAGTTCTCGTATTGCTGGGGGGCAGCGGGACGGGGTGAGCGCCCGGCACCCTGCGCGGTCCCCGCCTGCCCCCGGCACCGCGGCCTCACCAGCGCCGTGTTGTCCGTCCACTGGAAGTCCTGCTCCACAATCCTGTCATTGAGGCCGATCCAGGTGTTTTCATGCCCGAAGCCTGCAGAGAAGCAAGGACGGGGGCTCGGGGAGATGCAGCASCGTGCACAACACCGGGGCAAGGGGCCAAACCCGCCGCGCTCCTCGCAAGGGGAACGAAGGGGCTGCTGCAAAGCTCATGCATGCAGCAGCGCATGCGCAAAGGGGCAAAACGGGGCCGCACTCCAGCTCGGCGCGAGGGGAACGGGCGCCCCGAGGCRGGACACTGCCGCACCGTTGATGAAGGCGTGCTCCTCGCGGGAGTGGATGCTGGCCAGGTGGCCGGCGCGGCGGCGGCAGTCGCGCTCCGCGTCCTCCCACGAGCGCCGGTGGGAGAAGTAGCGGTAACAGTGGCCCTGGAACTTGTGCCAGCTGTGCTCGCAGCCCTCCGTGTCTGCAGGGCACGGACGGGAGCGGTGGCCGCGGGCCGGGGCGACGTCCCCGGCCCCTCGCGTCCCCGCCGCGCGCCCACCTCTCTCGCAGCGGCTGCCGCCGTAGCTGGGCAGGCAGAGGCAGACGAAGGCGTCCACCTCGTCGATGCAGGTGCCGCCGTTGCGGCAGGGGCTCGACAGGCAGTCGTCGATGTCTGCGGGGACAGGGAGGCGCTGCGGCTCGGGCGGGCGCGCGGGCAGCGCGCGGCGCCGCGCCGCCGGCCTCACCGATCTCGCAGTTCTCGCCGGTGAAGCCCGGGGCGCAGGTGCAGCTGCAGACGGCGCCGGCGGCCCGGCACGTCCCGCCGTGCAGGCACGGGTTGGTCTCGCACGGCTCGGCCCCGGCTGCAAGGCAGGAGCGGCACCGGGCGCTACCACCGGCGCTACCACCGCGCACAACCGGCGCCWCCGCCGCGCACAACCGGCGCCAGCCCCGGAGCGCCGGGCATTCGTTGCCTCTTTCACAGGCACCACAGGCTCCACGCGCTAAACGCGCTGCCAGGCCTTGCTGTTATTATTAGCAACCACAGGCATTAAATATTTAGGAGAATGGGTCCCCTGCTCACTTTAATAGCCCAGCTCGTTTGGAGAAACCCGGGATGCGTGGGGAGAAGCCGGGGGGGTGGGATAAAATATTGAGGCCTCGGAAGCTCAGCTGGAGGGACAATGGGCAGGACAGCGGGGTGCGAGTGGGCACATCCCGGTCCCCATCCCCRTCCCCGTCCCCGTCCCCGTGCTGGGAGGGCTGCGCTCACCAGCCAGGCTCGTGTTGCTCTCGCCCGTCCAGGCCGTCAGCTCGGGCTCCGCGGGCTCCTCGGCGCTGCCGCTGCCGCCCTCCGAGAGCGGGGAGCCCCGCGGGGCCGCGGGCAGCTCCAGCAGCTCCGTGCTTGGCACCGTGCGCTGCCGCCCGGCCCGGGGAGCACCGGGTCTCACCGTCATGGGGACAGCGACAGAGCTGGGGAGCGCAGGGGGCTTGTCCTGCTTTGCCCCCTCAACGGGAGCATCCTTCGTCCTGGGAACATCCGCAGTGCTGGGAGCATCCTCGGTGCTGGGGGCATCCTCAGTGCCAGGAGCAGCACTGGTGCTATGGACATCCTCGGTGTCAGGAGCATCCGTGGTGCTGGGAACATCCTTGGTACCAGGAGCATCCTYGGAGATGGGAGCATCCTCAGGGATGGGAGCATCCATGGTGCTGGGAACATCCCTGGTATCGGGAGCAGCCTCAGAGATGGGAGCATCCGTGGCACCGGAGCTGGTGGGGGGCTCTATGGATGCAGACCCTGGCACGGCCACGGGCTCGAGGATKCCGAGCTCAGTGGCCAGGGGGGTGGCAGAACTGCCACTTGGGGGGCTGCCAGTTGCCTCGTCCTGCTGCGAGTCCCGCAGGGGCGATGCCGGCGYGGGGCCATCCCGCACAGCGGGGACACCGGGAGCTGCAGCATCCCCCTGGCTGGGGCGCCCCGGCGCAGCCCCCGTGGGGCTCTGCCCGCCGGGAGCCCGTGGGGCGGCAGAGGGGCCCGGCGGGACGGGCACCGCTTTCCTCTGCCGCTCCAGCGAGCCGGCGGCGCGGGGCAGCGGCACCGGCAGCGTCCCCAGCGCCTCGGCCAGCAGCGCGGCCGCCGGCGGCACCGAGACCCCGTCCTCCCTGCCGAGGGTGTCCCCGGAGAAGTCCTCGGTGGCAGGTGGCCGGGGGGCATCTCCGCGGGCGCCRGGTGCAGGCGGCGACGGGGCTGGCGTTGGGGACGGCACCGGGGGCAGCGTTGGGGACAGCAACGTCAGAGGGGGCGCAGATGACGCAGGTGCCCCAGGGCCCCGCGGGGCCACCCGGGGGCTCCAGCGCGGGGCGTCCCCGGGGACAGGCGGCTGCGGCGAGGGGGCCGCCGTGGGGGCAGGGCCCGGGTGTCCGGGTGCGGGGGGCTCTGCAAAACACAGCACGGACGGTCGGGTCGGGCCCAGGGCCGTGTCCGSGGCCTGGGTGTCACTGCAGCCTCACCCTGCTCCTCACGCTGCTCCTGCAGCCCCTCGGAGAGCGGCCGGGTGCCGGGGGGGCTCCGCGCGCTGGGGGGACCTGGCACCTCCACGGCGTTGCCCACGGTCCCCGCAGCTGGAGAGGGGACCGGAGGGACAGTCCCCGGTGCCTCTGTGGCCCCCGTGGGCTCCCGGTGCCGCAGCTGGAAGTGGCGCCCGTTGAGGCCAGGTGAGGGGCTCCGCTTGGGGACCGCGGTGGCCTTGGTGGCACCGCTAGAGCTCAGCGGGGACAGGGATGGTGACGGGGATGGGGATGGTGACGGGGATGGGGATGGGGACAGGGATGGGGATGGGGACAGGGATGGGGAGGGGTCGGGTGGCTGCGGCGGCGGGAGGCTCCCGGCCAGGTCCTGCTCCACCGCATTGAGCGACTCGTCCTCACGGGGCCAGGCCAGGACGGACACGGTGGCAGCTGGGGGGGCCTCCCCCGAGGTGCCCGGGTCCTCCCGCTCCTGCGCCGCCGCATCCTGGTGTCCCCCGCGCGTCACCTCCTCCGAGGCTGCAGCAAGAGCAGGATGGTGGCAGCGGGGGGCGCGGGGACACGCTGCAGTGCAGCGAGGGGCTGGCCCCGCAGCGCTCCGCGGTGCCACCCCGGCGCCCGGCCCTACCTCGGTAGCAGTAGGCGTCGAACCTGGCGGYGGCGGCCGGGAAGCCGGTGCGGTTGGGGAACTGGTAGAGCGTGCGCACGCCGGGGGCCTGGCCGCCRCACTTGGAGCGCGGCGCGCGGATCGGGTAGCGCACGCTGCCGTCCGCCAGCCAGCCCGGGTCGCAGCGGTCCAGCCCCGCGCGCCACGCCAGCTGCAGCTGCCCCGTGGTGGCCAGCGCCGCGCCGCGGCTCCGGCAGTGCCGCCGCGCGCCCGCCCACGTGAAGCGGCCCGGCGCCGTGGCGTGGAACACGCTCCCTGCGGGACGGAGCGGAGCCCGTTGGCACGGCCCCGGCGCGGCGCCGCGGCGCGCGCCGCCCCGCGCGCTTGCCTTGCAGCTCGCTGGCGAAGCAGTAGACGTCGTAGCGCTCGCCGGGCTCGCGGCGCCCGTAGCTGCGCACGCCGGGGAGCCTCTCGCGGTCCCCGTAGCAGCCGGGCCGGGACAGCGTGATGGGGTACCTGCAACAAGGGGCACGGGGCACTCGGCTCGTGGCCGCGCGCCCCGCGGGCGCCCYGGCGCCGCCGCTCACCGCACGCTCTGGTCRGCCAGCCAGCCGGCGTCGCAGTTGTCGTAGCCGTCCTCGAAGGCGGCTTGCAGGTGCCGGGGCGAGGCCACCACGGCCGAGTTGTCCCTGCAGGCGCGCTGGGCCGCGGCGAAGGTGAGCGCGTAGCGAGCACCCAGCGGGCGGTAGTGGAAGACGACGCCTGCACGGGGAGCAGGGGCTCTGCTCGCACGAGGTGCATGTACACCCATGTGGGGTGTACACGGGGTGCAGAGGGGGGACTTTGATGGGGGACGTGGTTTGCGTGGGAGTGTGCATGGGAGGTGTGCATGGYGGGCATGGGAAGCTTGCAGGAGTGCACGGCTTGCAAGGAGCGCAGGAGTTATGTGGGTGCATGGCTTGCATGGGGGTAGGCATGGGGGGCACAGGGCGGTTTGCATGGGGTGGCTGGCTTGCATGGGGACTTGCATGGCAGATTTGCGTGGGAGACTTGCACAAGGGACACAGGGAGCCTGCAGGAGTGCATGGCTTGCAAGGAGAGCATGGGTTACACATGTGCATGGCTTGCACGATGCCCATGGATCGCCCGGGGGTTGCACGGGGAGGCCCAGCTCGCAGCGCAGCCCCGCRTCGCCGCTCACCCGTCACCTCCAAGGGCAGCAGGTCCTGCTCGTCCTCGATGCYGGCCACCACCTCGCAGCGGTAGAGGCCGGCGTCGCTGGCGCGCGCGGCGCGCAGCAGCAGCGTGGCGTTGTGGCGGTCGCGCGCGTAGCCGGGCAGCGCCACGCGCCCCTCGTAGGCTCTCGCCACCTTCACCGCGTTGTCCTTGGCCACGAGCACGGGCGCGTCCTGCCGCTGGCCCGCGGCCGAGCGCACCTTGCTCCACTTGACGCGCGGCGGGTCCGGGGGCTCCCTGGGGCCGCGCGCCGGCGCCGGCTGCAGCGCGAAGACGCAGGGCAGGGCCACGGGCTCCCCCAGCGCCGCGCGCACCGGCGGCTGCTGCACCTTGCGGATGCGGATCACCTGGCCGCCGTCCAGAGAGCCTGCGGGCACAGGCGCCCGGTGCCAGGGGACGGGCTGCACAATCCCCCGCGACCCATGATAGGAGCCTCCTGCTCCTCCGCTAATCCCGGCCCCCGCTGGAATGCGCTCCCCGCTCCACCAAGCAAATCCCRGGAACCGGCGCGGGGGCAGCACAGCTTCGAGCTCACGGACACGCCGCCAATGGGATTAAGTGTTTAAGGGATCCCCTGCGGCCAGGGGCTTTTCCCAGCTGATCCCGCACGTGGCACTCACCCAGCACGGCCGGGAGCAGGGAGAGGCCCAGCAGGAGCCAGCAGCCGGCACTCCCCATGCCATGGCCCATCCTTGACCTGCAACGAGAACGGGCGCTGAGCGCGGCACCCACCCGAGCACCCTTGGCTCGTCCAGGGCCCATAAATCACCAGCCACGGCACCAGCCCTGCGGCTTTGGACTGCCCAGAGCTGGGTCKCCCTGCTGCGCGTCCCGGCGCGGTGCTCCCTGCGCTGGAGCTGCCCCATCCAGGCTCCAGAGCCCCCCTATCCAGCACCAGCAGAGCCCTGAGCATCCCGGCTCTGACAGAGCCGAGCCGGGAAGCAGCCTGAGCCCTTCCCATTGAGCGAGCGAGCAACAAAGTCACCCGCACCCTTGGGTGCAGAACAGGCACATGGGACACGCGGCTGCCAGAGGAGAGTGGGACTCAGCACCACGTTCCTGTGTCTCCTGGGGCAGGCTCCGTCACCCACGTTCCCCTTCTTTCTCTCTTTTTTCTTTTTTTCCCTTTTCACCCACGTTTTCCCTTTTTGCATCTCTCGGCGCTTCCCCCCTTCCAGCTTCCAGGTGGCTCTTTTGCTCCTAAGCGCAAAGAGGGAGCGTTTCCCRTGCGGGAGAGCGGCGCGCGGACGGATGGACAGACGGACAGAGCAGCACAGAGGGCTCGTGCCCCCACACGGGGACGGGTCCCACCACAGCCCCTGGTCCCACAGCACCGAGACCTTCCCCTTCTGCACCCTCCTGTCCGAGACCTTCCTCTTCGCCATCCTCCCGCTCCGCTCGACTTCCCCGACATCAGCTTTTCCGCGGGTCTGGCGGCTCCCGTGGCGGGGGCACCGCAACAGCACCCGCTCCCAGGGGTGCTGCCCCCTTCACCGAGGGCGTTCTGTCCCCAAAACGGGATYCCTCGCCCCAGGGGCCATCGGCGCCGTGCAGCATCCTCAAGAGGAGGCTGCAGCCGGGTCCCCTCCCGCTGCCTCCTCTTGATCCGCTGACCCACATGGAGCTCGGCAGCCCCGACTCCAGGTGAGGGGCTCCACGGTGGCCGGCATTGGCCATGGATACTGGGACCGCTCCGTGCTYGGAGCGTCAGAGCCCAGAGCCAGGTGCCCAGCGAAGCCGGAGCAAAAAGATTTAAAATAACCCTGGTGCATCCCCCCGCTTCCCMCACACACACCCCTCTAGCCAGGATGAACATTTTCACATCTGTCACTAGCTGTCACATCATGAATAATTCATCGGCCTCATGAATATGCAAAGCGGGGGCTGGTGATTAGCCTCTGCTGAAACCTCCCGCCGCTCCTGCCAGGCCGGGCCACCCGGGCCCTTTCGGTGCCTTTTCTTGCAGCCTGTCACTGAGCTGGGGACGCGGTGGCCGGGCGCAGGGAGCCGCGGTGCGAGGGGACACCGTGGGGCACGGGGAGGCAGCGGGGGTGGCAGCAGCTCCCCCCAGCAGCCGATATGGGGCAGGACGGGCACCCCTTGTCCCAGGTATCTCCCTGGGGGCACAGGGCCCATGCAGCAGCCTGTGACCTCTGCTGTCCCCATGGGTCACTGCGCTCCCCAGCTTGGGACATATCRGAGCGTGGACACCGCGGATGCATCCCCCGCGGGGACACCCCCAGCGCGGGGCCTGGTCCTGCTCAAGCAGCAGGTCCAGAGCTGCCCCCCCTCTGCACAAACGCTCGTCACGGTGCCCGGCGCCGCGTCCTGCCGCACTCGGCGAGCCCCGCGCGCCGCGAGCGCYGCGAGCATCACCCGCATCCCGCGCCCGCCGGCACCCACCTCCCCAGCGGCGCCCCCAGAGCTGCGGGGCTGGGGGGGACGCAGCGGCCCCCCGGGACCCCCGCGGGGCTGCGGCGGGAGCCGGGCGCCCGGCGGCAGCTCTGGCTCCGCGGCGCCTCCTCTCTGCCCACAACAAAGGAATTGTGCAGAGCGGCGCTGCCGTCACCGCGCGCCAGCGTGACGCTCCCCGCGCCCCCCCGGCCCCACAGCATAAATTAGCACCTCGCGGAACCGCCAACCCCGCCAAGATGGGCCCAGCCTGGGTGCGATTTTTATTAGCAGACAGTCTGTAGCCTTTATTTTAGAATCTGCTTTTTCTTTCTTTTTTTCTTTTTGGTCTTTTTTTCTGCCCTTTTCCCCCCGCTTTCTGTCTCTGCCGGGTGCTGTGCAGGAGCCTGGCGTGGTGGCAGCGTGGCCACAATTGTGGTCCCTTGCACACGCGCTAAGGGCTTGTCCCAGGCCTGGCACGGAGCCGCGCGCCGCTCCGGACCCTCCAGGGGGGTTCCATCGGGAAAGGCTCCCCTGAACTTTGCYGAGGCCCAGGAAGCCCCCAGGCAGCTCGGGAGCAGCGCGAGGATGCTCTGACCCCGGCATCACCACGGGGGTATCCGGGCTGGCACCTCCCGCCCGAGGGCTGAGTCCTTTCCGTCCCCCCGGCCGCCCGCCCCCGCTGCAGAACTTGGTGGCTTCCTCCCTGCCCGGAGCCCCGACGGCACCGGAGCGGGCGGCAGGGACGGGAGCCGGGAAGCTGCGGCAGGGACACGGCTCTGGTCCCCCCGGTGCCTCCCRCCCTAACAATACCGGTGCCCCCAGTGTCCCCCGGGCGCTGTCCTGCTGTCCCCAAGGCCCGTGGCTCCTTGCACCGGTGCTCAAGCTCAGTCCCGGTGCCCCGTCCCCGTGTCCCAGCGCCGCGGTAACAGCCACGCTCCGCCAGCCGCAGCCCCCGCACCGATGTCCCCGAGTGTCCCCAGCGCCGTGCCCGGCCCGCCCCCTCCCCGTGCGCTCCCGTTACCCGGCACCGGCGCCGGTACCGCAGGGGTGGGGGGGCGCGGCGGGGGCGGAGCCGGTACCGGTACCGGTTCACGTACCTGGGCCGGGGCTCAGAGCGCGCCGGGGGTCATCGCCGCCGCCGGAGCCGCGCACCGGAGCGCCCGCCGGCACCGGGGGCTTAAAAACGGGGCGCGGAGGCTGGGGGGGAAGGCGGCGGCGACGGGGGGGGCGAGCGGGCCGGACCCCCCCGGTGGGGGCCGGGCCGGGCCGGGCCAATCGCGGCTGGCGGCGGGCGCGGCCCCCCCGCCGCTGCCGCCCGCACCTGCCCGCAGCCGGCGGCGAAACCGGCTCCGCTCCGCGCCCCGCCGCGCCGCCCGGCGCACGGGGAGGGGCGGCCGCGCATGCGCCGACCCCCCCATCGCCCAGCCCGGGGGTGCGGGGGAGCATGACAAAAAAAGGGGGGCGGTTTCCAGCCCCCTGCCCCCCCCACAACCCGCGCAGCGCCGGCCCCGGCATCCCCGCGCTGAGCTGCCCCTGGGTGGTCGGGGGTGGGTGAGGGAAGGCGGCGTTTCCAGCCCCTCCATATCCCGGTGGAGAGGTGCTCAGCCCGGGATATCCACCCATGGGTCCCCCCATACTCCCACCCCATCACACTGCCCTTCCCGGAGCTCAGGAACAGTCTGAGATGGGGACAGAAGAGAGAGCATCGCTGTTCCCCCCCAGCAGCACCCAAAGCAGCACTACGCCCCAGGACACACATGCTGCATCCCTGCTGCATCCCAGCCTGGGTGCAACTCTTCCTTTTAGTGGGAAGGCCAGTAAAATGGCATTTTCCRATGTTTCCTCCTTGCTCCCCTCCAAATAGGTGATCAAGAGGAGTATCCGGGATCATCCTCCAGCCCTTGGGAGCCCTTGGGAGCAGAGGAAGAAGCAGAGGATGAGTCAAAGCCTGTGAGGTCTCCAGGAACAAGCTGGGATGCAGCGCTGCCCAGAGCAGTTCCCGGCGCAGGGTCGCATGGCGCCAGGATGCCAGCATCCCAGGACCGAACCCTATGGCATCCATGGAGAACGGCAGCCTGTCTGCAGTGCGCTGGCACTGGACATGTCGCCCCTTTTCACTCCTATAGGATGAGCCGTGGAAACCCGAGAGAAAAGTTCTCATTTCCTATTCTATTGTAGGGGACTTTGTGGAGCGGGCGCCGCTTCCTGCCTTTTGTGAGGCCCTGCCACAGGCCCCGCTGTCCCCGCACAGAGCCCCTCTGTTCCTCTTTGTGCTCCTGCAGCTGGCCTGTCCCATAGGTGCCCGCGGAGCCGCAGGGGTTAATGGCCCTGCACCTCTGCCAAGGGAGGAGAGGGGCCCRGGTGTCCTGCCCCAAACCGGTGCACCTCTTGCCATCCCGCATGCAGCAGTGCCGATGTCCCCATCCCGCTGGCATGGGGACGAGCCAGCCCGGAGCAGGGTCGGCAGCGCTCAGGGCTGAGCACAGGGCTGGTCCCATGGCTGTGATGGCCCCTGTGACAGCGGTGGCCCCGCGGCTCCTGCTCCCGCCACTTGTCTTGCTGAGTGGAGGTGCCACCACTGAGTTATCGGTGCTCTCCTCTCGAGTACAGATAAATGTCACAGCCAGCAGCAGCCCGCGCCGCTTACGGATGAGTATTTAATAGTCATGTCCCCCCTGCGGCTGGAGACTGGGATGTGGCGGGATGTGACCAGCCCCCAGCCCCGGCGGTGCCCTGGGGCTCACAGGTAGGTTGGGGGGCCAAGTGTGGCATGAGTTTGATAGGTCTCGGCCAGGCTTGCCTCCTGCCAAGGGCAGCAAGGAGAGATGAAGCAGCTGGATGCCGGAATGGGGGGACAACCCGGGGCGGCGGGTGCCGGCGGCGCGAGGGGCCCCGTCCCGCGCCCCGCTGCGGTGCTTGTTATTCCGCTCAGGTCTCCCGGCGGCTAATGAAGCTGCTTCCAGGGAACTGMCGCATCCAGCCGGAGCCCGGCAGGCTAATGAGGCCACGTCAGCCGCAGCTGGGGCCAGCGCGGAGCTGTGCATGGACAGACGGACACCGGCAGGACCGGCGGACGAGGCAGCATCCCCGCGTGCGGGCTGCCCTTTGCATCCCAGCACGATGTCCCCTCAGGACGGCTCCCGCTTTTATTGTCCCTCCTTCATCCTGGCAATCTGCAGGCTCCATCCCTGTGTCCTGCCGTGCATCCGAGGGGAGCTGGCGGGCGGGAGCACCCGCAGTCCGGCCGGGATCCCCGGGATGCCAGGGCCGTGGGGTCCCCGCCGGCTCAGCCGCCATCCAAGCCAGCRGCAGCAGGAATTGATTTTATTTTCCGTTTCCATGGCAACTGCCTCCTTCCCCTTCCCCCTCCGCTTCCCGCACCCTCTGCCAGCTCGGTCCCCACTGGTCCCTCCTGCACGGAGGTCACCGGGCAGCGGTGACACCGGCCGTCCCTGTCATGTTCCCCCGTTCCCACGGCATCCACGAGCATCCCTGTGGCTACGGAGGTGACAGGGACCCGTGTCCTGGGGGTGGCTCCGTGTTTCCCAGGTCCCCGGCTCTGCCGGCACCAGGGCTATGGTTGGAGCTGCTCCGTTAGTCCCAGCCCCACCAGCCCCACGGCAGCTCCCGCTTTTGACCCAATTTCCCCGGCAAATCGCAGCAAGGGGGAGGAAGAGGGAGGAAGATCACGACGGTAGCGACAGTAACAAGGCGCTTTGGGGCATCAGGGTGGGTGTTTTAGTCATGTGGCTGTGGCCACCGCTCTGTCTCCTCCCGGGCTGGGGCTAATTGTCCCCTCGCTCACTAGCCGTGTGGCTCTATAGGTGACAAGGCCAAGGGGGCACTGGGCGGGCAGTGTTGCTGTGTGCAGGTGTTGTTGCACACGCACGAAATACAGCTGTTTGTCACGGTGTGCGTGCATGTGTGTATCTGTGTGTGTGTGCATTGTGTGAGGCTGTGCATCA